TTAGTTGATATAAAATAATCTCAGTACAGAGTACTAAAAAAAAACGGTCTTAAAAGTACGTGGAATTATGTATAATTACCAAGTTTTGTTGAAATCGGTTACCGGAAAGTGCGGAAACCCGGATTCATCCCCTAGTTCGCCACTATACGGGACTTGACACAGGAGATAATAAAAATCGGTTCTCACTACTCAAAGTATATTGAGAGAGAAAAACGCCTTGAATTAAGGAATAGCAAAATCAACCATTAAAATAATTACACATTATACTAAAATTTAGGCGCTATTTATAAAAATTAATCTTCATGCGTGAATCCTTAGATGTGGATAATTTTCTTCAAAATTAAATTGGACCACTATGGAGGTTTCCAACAAAAAAAGAATAATGAAAATTGGTTCACAAAATACCCGAGTTATCGCGTAACATACATACAAAAAAAACATAAAGTCGAATTGAGAACCTCCTCCTTTTTTTGAAGTCGGTTAAAATAAATTGGCATGCGTAAAGTACCTATTGAATACACCGGTTTTCTTGTAAAAGTTTGAGGTCACTTTGTGGTTTTTGCTATCGTGAATATTATTAGGAATGTTTTCACACCGTATTGTAATCAGTATATAATTATATCCTAAATTTTGCTATTTATTTTTACCAAAGTGATTGATGAGGCAAAGTAAGGCGCCCAGGTATATTACTGATTCAACGTAATGTTCGGCAAATATAGCAGCTTCCGCTTGCGCAGTCAATTGGTTTCATATTCTTTGGCAAATATCCTCAACGACCCAATCCGGAGAAGCGACGAACTATGAAATTGAGACTTAACTTTTCTCTACACGCGGTTATAAAGACAGGAGTACATATCAATGAAGCACCAGCCCATACCATTAAATGCATCATTTTTTGCATAGCCTTGTCTGGCGGGTGCCATCGACACACACATAGACAACCACAAATGACTCCCAAACTCGCGAGAGAAATCAATTTAAGCCATACAAATATTTCTCCCGTATCGGGCATCGAACCCGCGATATCTGCGTGCCAGACCAGAATATTTTTTAGAGAGAATTATCATAGCGATGCGAACAGTGGTAATATTTGATATTGCTCAGAGCCTATGAACACGGTGTATATTTACGCGTGTCCCGAACACGCGTAAATTGCGGCGCTTGGGTCGTACGCACGCGCTTCCGTAATGTGTATGCGTAGTGAAAATGTCGACGTCAGAAATTGACATTTCTAAGATAAAACTGACAATATTCGAAGATGTTTTGTTCAAAATATTAATTTGTCAATTTCTAGTTTCATCATTTTCACTATGTTTTCTATACGCGTACACAATACAGACGCGTGCGCGTGCGTACGATCGGAGTGCCTGATCGAACTGACAAAAATTTTATTACTATAAAAAATACGTTATTTATTTATTACTATAAAAAATACGTTATTTATTTATTACTATAAAAAATACGTTATTT